GTGTGCGTGCCCTTCCCTTGCATGTGTGTAGGTAGTGCGTTGCGCGTTATCGCTGGCCGTCAGCTTCCTCGCACCGCGCCACTTCAAAGCATGTGGGCAATTCACGCAGTCGCCCACGCACAACTTCGACTCGGTGCATTAGCCGCTCCGCCGAAGAAAAAGTGTGTGTGTAGGTGTGTAGGTGTGTGTGTGTGTGTGCGTCTCTCTCTCTCTCTCTCTCTCTCTCTCTCTCTCTCTCTCTCTCTCTCTCTCTCGCTCCCGTCCCCTTTCGGCGCGGCCGAGCGAGGCACGTGACCCTCCCGATCTAGCGCCCCCTTTCCCGCCAACGCGGGATTGCCCTGCTATAAGAGGACGATTAGCGCCGTGGAGGCGCCGAGGGCAACTGCGGCGGCGGCGACGGCGGCGTCGCGAGGCTCGGGGGCCCCTGCTCGAAGGTTGCTGCGTAGGCGTTTCTTGTCGCGCTTTTTTTTTTGTCGCATGCGTGTGTTCTTGCCTGCTGTCTCCTCAGTCCTGCCCCCATGCGCTCGCATTTTGTTTACCCCTCGGCGCCGCTGAAGCCGCCCCGACGGCGCGCCTCGGCCCCGCGGCAGCCCCGCGCGGCCGCCGATTTCCCAGGAGGCGCCGACAAACGAACCCAGGGGCCCGAGAACTTCAGGGGCGCCCGAGGAAGCCTCAAAGAGAGCCAGCCTGTCAGAATCCGCGACAGCCCGGGACGGCTTCAAAACGGTCCAAGTCGGTCCGGTCGGCCCCCGATCTAACGCCCAACGCGCCCTGGCGCGCCCTGGCGCGGCGGCATATCATGGACACGCGCGCGCAAAGCGCGAGGCCGCTTGGTCGATCGTTCGTCTTCTCCCCATGCTGCCCGAATCGGGCTGCAGGGCGGCTTCGGAAAGCTCGAACTTGAACTTCAAGACAAAGAGGCCTCCAAGACGGCCCAAAAGGCCACCAAGACGGTTTCTTCAAGATGGGGCCCAGACGGGGACCCTAACGGAAATCTCGAGCCCTCGGCCCCAAGAAGCCCCCAAGAGCTCCCGAGAGGCCTCCAAGAGGCCTCCAAGAGGCCCGCAAGAGGCCCCAAGAGGCCCCCAAGAGGCCCAAACGAGGCCCCAAAACGCCCCCAAGAGGCTTCAAAAGTGCTGCCAGGACGCCCCCAAGAGACCTACAAGGAGATCCCCAAGGGGTCGGCGGTGCGGCGCAAGCCCAATAATCACGACATGACCCCCTGATGTTCCCAGGTCGGCTCCGCCCGCGGGGGGGCCGGCAGACGGCGCGGCCCTTTCAGCGGCGGAGGAGGAGGAAGAGGACGAGGAGGAGGAGGAGGGGGGGGGGGAGTCTATTCGCGTCTTCCCCATTCGCACTCAACGTGTATGAATCCGGCCACAATGAGGGGGGGCAGAGGAGGCGGAGAAGGAGGAGGAGGAAGGAGGAGGAAGAAGGAGGATGAGGAGGAGGAGGGAGGAGGAGGAGGAAGGAGGATGAGGAGGAGGAGGGGGGGAGGAGGAGGAGGAGGAGGAGGAGAGGAGGAGGAGGAAGGGGGGGGGAGGAGGAGGAGGGGGAAGAGGTGGAATTTCCATGTGCGTCTATATCTGCCCAGTCAACAGCGCGCTCAGGAGACGGAGGAAATTGCCCACGACCTTGGTTGGCACCAGGGATTGTTTCGTGCCCGAGAGGCGCGCCTCGGCGACATCCCTCAGCAGCCCAACATAGTTTTCGAAAGAATAACACCATGATAGTTTGGGATTCTGCCACCGAGCGTGCCTCACCAGATGGTGCATCCAGTGGAATTTCTATGTCAAATTGCAATGGCCCTCCTGCTTCTGCAATGAACTCTGGACCAGGAAATTGTAATACAGCAAGAAGCGGTCCGCCAGCGTAATCATCTCAACGACTTTGTCCAATGGTAGAAACATGCCCCCTCTATCAACAATGTCGCGCAGCTCGGCCAAATCCTCGCGCGCCCTCAAACGGGCGCGCGCGTCATCGGTGGCCAGCGGCAGCCGACCGAGCACCCTGACCACGACAGGCACTAGGTATCTAGAAGCATTCGTTTTCGCAGAGAGCTGACCGAAACACTCGCTACCGATCATGCCTGGGGTTAGGCAGGGCAACCTGCTCGTCGTGCCCAGGTCGTCGTAGCACTGGCACACCATGTGCCAAAGCTCTTTGAAACGATTGGCTTAGTTCCCTGGGAACGGCCCCCCCGCGGCAGTCAAATCCTCGATGCAGCCTCCGCGTAAATGCAGGTCCGCGCCGATATGACAAGTGTGCATCCAGTCGCCGAGGTAGTGAAATCTGGTCCTGCCTGGCATCATCCAGATTGGGTGGTTCGGAAGAGGAGGGCCTGCATCCACGGTGTATACATGAGGGCGCCAAGGCGCACTGCTCGACACATTCTTGAAAGTCATCGCGCCGCCGTCGGCTGGACACCAGCGGCACTTCAGGTGCGAGCTGCAGTGCTGCACCTTGCACTCGTTGCACGCGTACTCTGCGTCCATTGGCAGTTGCCAGAGCACCCCGTAAAATTCGCCATTTGCGATCGGACCTCCTGCCAGCTCCGCCTCGGTGGACCCACCTGGCCACTCCTCGCCGAAGGGGTCCAGAGCCGGGTGAAACCCGTCGAACGCCGCGCGAAAACCGTGCACCAAGCAACTCCACATTTTGCCCCGCGCGCCCGCGCCCCCGCGAAGTGCCGGGTAGCACCGAGCGGCCTTCGGGAAGCAAACGGCCAAGAAAATGTTAGCCCACCCCCATTGGTGCGGATCTGTAGCGAACGACCACTGGACAGATACAATATTGCTTGAATGCCTCTCAAAGCGAACGCCATCACGGCGCAGGGGGATGGGCGCGGCGCGCCTCTCCCACCCGGGTCGGGCAACCGTTGGGCGGCGGGCCAGGCGGGGGTCGCCGCGCCGCACTTGGCCCCAGAAAGCAGGGAGGCCATCCCCCAGGCACTTCGCGAAGTGGCCCCTAAAATTGCGGCGGGGGAAATGGGGCATGACACTCGGCATCGCAATGGGCGAGCTCTGAAACAGCGGAAAGGACGGATCGCTCTTCTCGACGTAGGGGGGCCTGACCATCAGAGGCCTCGGCAGCAACGCGGACGTCGGAAACGCAGTCGTCAAATCTCGCCGAGCGTTGTTCGGGCACTCGCCATGCGAGCCGATCTTCGCCAGCGACGACAGCTGGGGATGAGGGGCCCCCAGAAGGCCCCATGGCAGCGCAGGAGGACCCCAAGACGACCCATGGGGCCCCCAAAACGCCTCCGAGGGGGTCCCAAAAAGACCCCGGGGAGCCCCCAGAAAGCGAAACCCACGGGGCCGCAAAGCTCGTGAAACACAAAAAATTGCTCGCGCACCCCCCCCCCTCTCCGCCACGACGGGGGCCATTCTCGAATGCTGGAGCGGCGGGGGGGGGGGGGGCGCAAGCAATTGTTCGTTGGATTTTGATTGTAATTTCTGATCACAAGAGGACGCACTGCCCCCCCGTTTTTTCGTTTTCCTGTCCTCCTCCGCCCCCATTTGGCCTTGCCGAAGAACTCGCCTTGTCAATCGCGCTCGTCGTCGTTTTCTGCTTCGCTGTTTCCCAGAGGATTACGCCTCCCAGATGCGCCCAGGTTGCCTCCAAGGCGGTCGACACGACCCAAGGCCGCCAAGAAAGCGGGCCAATATGGCCCGGGGAAAAGTCCGCGACGGCCATGGAGGGCCCCAAGACACCCCCAAGAGGCCCCCAAGACGACCCAGGCGGGCCCGACTACAACCCTGGCGATACCACCCCCCCAAAAAAAAAAGAAAAAAGAAAAAGACCCGCGCAGCTTGAAAAAATGCCTTCAAGAAGGGGGCGGTGAAAGAGGAGAAGGAGGAGGGGGGGGGGCGAGGGGGAGGAGGAGGAAGACGACGACGACGACGACGACGACGACGACGACGAACGAGCACGAGCAAGCACGAGCACGAGCACGAGCACGAGCATGAGCACGAGCACGAGCACGAGCACGAGCATGAGGAGCAGAAGCAGGAGGAGCAGGAGCAGGCGGCAGAAGAAGGAAGTGTCTCATGCATACACGGGGCGCGAGCCCTTGGAGAGGCGGCGTCGCTTCCGCGCGCCGTCGGGCGGCACCTCAGTCCACGCGCCCGCCCTGGCCTCCCTGAGCGGCCTCTTGCTGGCGCCGAGAAGCTGGCGGAGCGTCCTGGCCGTCTCGCACAGCATGTCCCCGAAGGTTTCGGGTGTGCAGAGGTACTCGCGCCCCCGGGGGTCCTCCTGCAGCGGACGCGGGAGGCCCCCCCCCCTGGGCCCGAACATGGCGAGCGCCCGCTCGCGGAACTTGTCCCGCTCACGGAGCAGCATCTTGTCGTAGTCTCTCTTCGCGAGGCCCGTTTCGACTGAGAAGGGGGGGTGCTCTTGAAGAAGCAACCGCAGCGCGCGATGCGCGCCGCCCCCGCGCACGGCCGTGGACGAGACCCCCCGGGCACGAGTCTCCTCGAGCACCCGCGTCTCCCCTACCTAGGAACCAGGACACCTCGACCGAAGACGGCGGCAGAGAGGGGGAGAGGGAGAGAGGGAGAGGGGGAAGAGGGAGGGAGGGTGAGAGGGAGGGACTCTGGGAGCGCAGCCTGGCAAAGGTTTCCCTTTCCCCCACCTCGGCACAGCAAGATCACCCCGTGCTGCGCGTGGAATCGGCCGACCCCCGGGATCTTCACGAGGCTATTTTGGATGCCGGCCTTCGTCTGCCCAGAGACGGGGGCGCTCTCAGAGGCGTAACGGGGCACCAGCCCCTTGCCCTCCGCGGAGTTCCCGTAGACAAATGAGCGGTCGAAGAGGTCCTTGCCCTCCTCGCGCACCTTGCGGGCGATGTCCACGATCCGCTTCTCGGCCCCGTCCTCCAGAGCTGCGTCGACGAAGTCTTTCCCGTATTGTGTGAAGTAGGTTGCCCACCTTGCCCTGTCGTACCGCTTTTTGCCGAGGACTTTCAACCTCTTGTCGAGCATCTCGCCGCGGTTAGGGACCTCGGGCAGGGCGATTACGCAGGGGGCTTCGGTGCGAAATCTCCCCCCTGGTGTCGAGGATTATCGGGGCCCCAGGGTCCTGGAAACCAGCCGTGGTCCACGTGACAGGGCCCTCCACGTACTGCAGGGTTTGCCGGTTGCGACACACCTTCACCGCGAAGTCCCTGAGCCCATCGCCGCAAGGGCCCCCGGAGTCAGAAGTGAGCAGGCGCAGATCTTTGAGATCCTGGCAGCGCGGCACGGTTGCCTGGCGCGACTCGGGCCAAAACTGGAACGGAAGGATTCGCATCAACACTAGTGGTGTAGGTGTAACAGTGCATAGTGATGTTAATTCCTATGGCTATTCATGTCTTCGTCGTCGTCGTCGTCGACGACGACGACGGCGATCAGGAAGAATGCGAGGATGAAAACGATAAAGAGGACAAAGGGGGAGAAGGACGATGACAAGGCTAATCGTGAGGAGGTTGAGGATAATCAGCGCGCAGCGTTCGTTTCAAATTTACTGAAACATTACTTGCGTACCGTACTCCCCCACTTCACACCTCTGAGACCCGCACCACTCGTGCCGGCATGGGGCGGGGGGGGTGCGCAAGCAATGCCCGTATGGGTTTACATATGTCGGGCACCAGGTTGTTTTGGCTACTTGGGGGGCAAATTGGCCGCCTTGTTTGGGAAATGTTGAGGTGTCTCGGGGAGTTGTTCGGGGATCTTCGAGCCCTCTGGGCCTGTAGCACGACAGTTAAAGGATCGTTAAAGGCCAACCTGGGTCGCCATCTCCAGCTATTTGGGCCATCCCTGAGGCGATCCTGCAACAAACGAGTGGGATTTCCACGCACTGCGGACATCTTGGCGGGATCTGGGGTTTGCGGGGACGGGTGGGCGCAACCACCTTCTTGCTGATCTGCAGTTGCAGAGGCTTCTCGAAGGGTCTGGGAAGCACCCAGGGAACCCGTAAGTGGGCCCAGATGCATTCAATGTAATGGCACGATCTATCGAGTGACTTACCAAGCCGCCCCGAGATTGCTCCAAGACGGCCCCAGACCGGCCCGAGACGGCCCCATGATGCAGGCCAGATCCTGTTCCGTTGTGCCCTGCATGGGGCACCCGTTCAAACCAGGGCATGGTCACGAATCCCCTCTTTGGTCTTTGGAATTTGGGGCGGCGGAGTGGCTGAAAGCCTTTTTTCATGCGAACGTCCCATATCCTATCTGCCTGATCTCGCGGTTTGCACAATCAACCGATTTCTACTTTGTTCCCATGACCTGTGATCCGCGACAACCACACGCACATTATTGCACGCATGGTGCAGACGGGCCGACAGCATGAGCAGGCACCCGCACTCGCAGCAAAGATGCCAGACTCTAGACGAGTCGTTCGCACCGGAACGGCGCATGCGCGGCGGACCAGCGAAGTGGAGCCACGAGCGGGACAATGGCTGCTGGGCGATTATCTGCACGCTCTCGCCGCAAATCGGGTGGAGTCCCATGAAGGCCTTTTCGTTCGTCCTCCTCCGCCTCCTCCTCCTCCTCTTCCTCCTCTTCCTCCTCCTCCCCCTCCTTTCCTCCTCTTCCTCCCCCTTGTCCTCCCTGTCCTCCCCCCTCCTCCTCCTCCTCCTCCTCCTCCTCCTCCTCCTCCTCCTCCTCCTCCTCCTCCTCCTCCTCCTCCCCTCCTTCCTCCTCCTTCCCTCCCCCTCCCTCCTCTCCTCCTCCTCCTCCTCCTCCTCCTCCTCCTCCCTCCTCCCCCTCCCCCTCCTCTCCTCCTCCTCCTCCTCCCTCCCTCCTCCTCCTTCCTCCTCCTCCTCTCTCCTCCTCCTCCTCCTCATATTCCCCCTCCCCCTCATTATCCTGATCCCCCGTTCCCCCTACTACTCCTTACAAAGGGGGCTGGAGCATTTAAGAGTGACGTCCTATTCGACGAGCCTGTCAGGAACCTAGCAGTGCGATGTATTTACCGAGACCCGTTGCGAAACACTGGCCTGCCCTGGCCTGCAGGATCGCAGCGGCGGTAAGAGGAGCTGGGCAGGCGTTCGATGACCGCTTCCCGTTCCAAGCAACTTGCAAAGTAGACCTTGGCTACTGAAGACCCTCAGGAAAGCCCTCCTCCTCGTCCTCCTCCTCCACCTCCCCGTAATCGCCCTTCTCCCGGAACCTCCTCCGCCCCCGCCTCTTCCTCCTCCCCCCCTTTTCCTGGACCCCTCCTCCTCCTCCTCCTCATCCTCCACCCCCTCCTCCTCCACCTCCACCTCCACCTCCACCTCCACGTCCTTCTCCTCCTCCTCCTCCTCTTCCTCCTCCTCCTCCTCCTCGTCCTCCTCCTCCTCATTCTCATATACCTTCCTGGCGTCTTAAGCCCCTGCTGTGCTCACAATCGTTGTGGTGATCGCCAGCAGCGCGGTGTGCGTCGTGGTTGGAGGCCCCATGCTGCATAGTTTGGAGCTTTGACGCCGCCCCTTGAACTTAGTGCGGACAGTTCGGCCGTTGTCATCGCCACCTGCCTCAAAATCAAATCGGCCACCGTGGAGGGCTCACGTCAGTGTCCATGCCAGCGTGGCGACGGTTCTATTGTGGGCAATTCAGAACTCCCCACGCGCGCGCGTATGGAGTTCTGTAGTGACAGTGGTAGCAAGCACACACCAAAACACCGTTAAGGGTTCACTTTAGTTTCCAAGCCAACATGACGACGGTTCTAGTGTATACCATACACAACGCCACGCACGCGCGTGGTGAGTGCTCGATTGATCATGGTATGAAAGATACTCCAGAAGCCATGCGAACTTCAAAATCAAACCGGCCACCGTTAAGGGGCCACTTTATTTTCCAAGCCAACACGGCGACTTTCCTATCGTGGACAACATTGAGCTCCCCACGCGCGCGCGCGTGGTGAGTATTGTGTTGATCATGGTAGGAAACATACACCATAACCAATGTTAACTTCAGAATCCATGTGGTCACCGTTAAGGGTTCACTTTAGTTTCCAAGCCAACACGGCGACCTTTCTATTGTGGACAGGACAAAACTACCCACGCGCGCGCGTGGATAGTTCTGTATTGATCATGATATGAAAAATACACCAGAACCAATGTGACTTCAGACTCCAATCGGTCACCTTTAAGGGTTGATTTCAGTTTCCAGGCCAACCGCGCGCACGCGCGTGGAGAGTTCTGCGTTGACCATGGGAGGGCACATACACCAGAACCCATGTTAACACGAAAATCAAACCGTCCACCGTTAAGAGTTTTGTTCTGGTTTCCAAGCCAACATGGCGACTTTTCTATTGTGGACAATACACAACTACCCACCGTCGCGCGAGCGGTGAGTTCTGTATTGCTCATAATCGTAAACATACCAGAAACCATGATCAGTTCAAAATGCAATCGGCCACCATGAAGGCCCACTGTAGTTTCCAAGCCAACATTGCGATGTTTCTATTGTGGACAATACAGAACTCCCACCGCTCGCGCACGCGTGGGGAGTTCTGTATGGGTAGGAAACATTCACCAGAATTCATGCGAACTTCAAAAGCAAACTGGTTACTGTTAAGGGTTCACTTTGGCTTCCAAGCCAACATGGCTACATGTCTATTGTGGGCAATACAGAACTACCCACGCGCGCGCGGTTTTGAAGTTCACATTGGTTCTGGAGTATTCTTTCCACGGTGATCCATGCACAACTCATGGCGCGCTGAGTTCTGTATTGTGCAACATAGAAAAATCGGCGCGTCCGTCGGCCTCCTTACAGTGTCACAGAAATTTGGAATTCAGTTTTTGCAATTACATGTCGACTTCTCTGTGGTGGACCATACAGAACTCCCCGCGCGGGCACGCGCGCGCACGCGGGGACTTCTGTATTGCCCACTACAGAAAAGTCGGCGCGCCCGTCGGCCTCCTTGGAGGGTGGCAGAAATGTTGAAACCAGTTTTTGGAATTACATGTCGGCTTTTCTAATGTGGACAATGCAGAACTCCCTGCGCGCGCGCGGGGAGTTCTGTATTGTCCACAATTGAAAAGTCGGCGCGCCCGTCGGCCTCCTTATAGGTTCACAGGGTTTCTGAGCTCAGCCTTTGGAATTACACGTCGACTTTTCTATTGTGGATAATACCGAACACTCCGCGCGCGGTGAGTTCTGCGTTGTCCACAAAAGAAAAGTGGGCGCGCCCGTCGGCCTTCTTAAGGGTCACAGAAACTGTGAGTTCAGTTTTTTAGAATTACATGTCGACTATCCTGTTGTAAACATACAAAGCTCCGCACGCGCGCGCGAAGACTTCTGCAGTCAACAACAGAAAAGTCGGCGCGTCCGTCGGCCTCCTTAAAGTTAACAGAAATTTTGGATTATGCTTTTTTCCATGACATATCGACTTTTTCTATTGTAGACAATACAGAGCTCCCCGCGCGCGCGCGGGGAGCTCTGTATTGTCCAAAGTGGAAAAGTCCGCGCGTCCGTTTGCCTCCTCAAGGCTTCGCAGAATTTGTGCATTCAGTTTTTGGAATTACATGTTGACTTTTCTATTGTGGACCATACAGAACTCCGCACGCGCGCGCGGGGAGTTCAGTAATGTCCACAATAGGAAAATCGGCGCGTCCGTCGCCCGTGGGCTTCCTTAAAGGTCCACAGGAATTTTGATTTTTTTTGTAATACATGTCGACTCTTCTGTTGTGGACATTTCAGAAATCCGCGAGCGCGCGCCCGCGCGCGTGGGGAGTTTTGCGTTGTCCACAATTGAAAAGTCGGCGCGTCTGTCGGCATCCCTAAAGGTTCACTGGATCTTTTAAATTCAGTTTGTCGAATTACATGTCGACTTTTCTATTGTTGACAATACAGAGCGCGCGCGCGCGGGGGAGACTCTGCGTTGATCTTGGTAGGAGACGTGCACCGGAACCCACGTTAGCTTCGAAGCCCAATCGGTTACCGTTCAGGGCCCATTTCGGTTTCCAAACCAACGTGACGACTTTTCTTTTGCTGACAATGCAGAACTCACCGCGCGCCCGCGCGCGCTCAGTCCTG